GAACCCGCGGGCTCAGGCAGTCCACTCACCTCGGCCTCCCAAAGTGTTGGGATTACAGGCTGAGCCACCGAGCCTGGCCTGTACCCCAGAGTTTCAAAATCAAAATTAAAAGAGAGAGAGAAAAAAAAGGAGTGTGTCTGGGTGCTGGGCGTGCCTCCCTCTCCGCTGTGGGGGTGATTCTCATCTGAGCAGCCTTTAGTTTCACCTTGTCCAGACCTTACTCCATCGCAGCCCCCAGACCTGTTTCTTCTTCTCCTTCCAGCTCTGCAGCTTCGAAATCCTGGATGAGCTGGGAAAACACATGATGCTAAGGAGAGATTGTGACACGGTGGATACCAAGGTTCCAGGTGCTGGGATAGCCCAAGGATGCTGGGAGGACCCAGGTGAGACTTCAGGATTCAGTCTTGATTTCCTCTCTGTCTCAACCCTATCCAGGTGACAGAAACGAGACTTTGAATTCAGTCCTTCCTCTGTTGACCGAGGATCCCCTGCCCCAGGTGAGGAGCTCCTATCTGGGGAGCCAGGTGCTGCTTTATTCGCCTCTCCTTCCTTCACCCCTGAGTATGGCTCTCTGGTCCAATTGAACTCCTTGTAAAGGCCCTTCTGCCTTTCCAGGACTTTTCTTTGAAGATGGCTTCGTTGTTTAAGAACTTTATCTCCACCTATAACCGGACATATGAGTCAAAGGAAGGTGAGGACACACCCTTGGCTGTACCTGTTCCGATTAGTTCAGGTCCTTCCCCGAAACATGGCACCTTGGAGTTGGAGAGGGGAAAGATAGAGCAGTATGCCCATTCAGTGACCCCTAAGTCCCTGAGTTCTGCCCCAGCCTTCTAGGACTAGGCAGCCACCCCAAGAACCCGGCCCCTTCTTTCACCTGATCTTTCTGGTCAGAAACTATGGGCCTCCGTCACTCTGGGTGAGGTGCGACGGTGTGGAGGCCGGGTGTTTTGTGCTGAGGCCCTGTGGCCTTTCCTCGTGACCTCTGGGGTGATGCTTTTGTTTTCTTTTTGAGTTGGAGGGTCACTCTGTCACTCAGGCAGTGGCACGCTCACGGCACTGTGGGCTTGACCTGCTGGGGAGGCACCTGCCACTTTGCCGTTGAGAAGAGGGGCTTCCAAGAGGCAATCAAGCTGTGCCCCAGGCTCTGAAGCCAAGTTCCTGGGTTCAAGTCCAGCTCTCTCTCTCTCTTTTTTTTTTTGAGTCAGAGTCTCACTCTGTCACCCAGGCTGGAGTGCAGTGGCACGCTCATGGCACCATATCCTCGACCTCCTGGGCTCAGGTGATCCCTCCATCCCAGCATTCCAAGTAGCTGGAACCACAGGCACATGCTACTACACTCAGCTGATTTTTGGAATTATTGTAGAGACAAGGTCTCACCAAGTTGTCCAGGCTGGTCTTGAACCTTTGGGCTCAGGCATTCCTCTTGCCTTTGCCTTCCAAAGTGCTGGGATTACAGGTGTGAGCCACTGTGCCTGGTGGCGGAGGCGGGTGATGCTTTAAGCCCCATTTTGGTGACTGTTTTTATACCTGGGAGATCATTACTTCAGTTTGGTCCCAAAAGTTGATCACAGACGGAAGGATCAACTGAGCCCAGCAGGTGAAGGCTGCGGTGCTGTGAGCATGCCACTGCACTCCAACCTGGGCGATAGAGTGAGACTCCAACTCAAAAAAAAAAGTATACATATTTAGGACAACCCCCTGGGGTCCCCTCCCACTGTGAGGGCTTTTCTGTCCTCTCAATAAATCCTGCTTTTTTTTGAGTTGGGGTCTCACTCTGTCGCCCAGACTGGAGTGTGTTGGCACGCTTCCAGCCACCGCAATTTCGACCTGCTGGTCTCCGGCGATCCTTCTGCCTCAGCCTCCCAAGTAGCCGTAACCACAGGCGTGTGCTACCACACCTGGCTAATTTTTTATTTATTGTAGAGACAAGGTCTCACTAAGTTGCCCGGATGGGTCTCGAACCCATGGGCTCAGGCAATCCACTTAGCTTGGCCTCCCAAAGTGCTGGGATTACAGACTAAGCCACTGAGCCCAGCCTAAATCCTGCTTTCAAAATAAAAGAAAGTCGGTCACTTCTCTCAACTCTGTCACTTGCCTGTCTGCCCCCCTTCCTGCTCCCAGGGATGACCCTACCTGTTAGTCCCAGCTGTCCCTCTTTTTATGATCTACCTGGGCTCATGCCTCTTTTCTGTTGCTCCTTGATCCTCAGAAGCCCAGTGGCGCCTTTCCGTCTTTATCAATAATATGGCGCGAGCGCAGAAGATCCAGGCTCTGGACCGTGGCACAGCTCAGTATGGAGTCACCAAGTTCAGTGATCTCACAGGTAGGGGAGGTGGCCAGAGCCCTCGTGGAGCCTGGAAGAGGCAGGGCCTGCTCTCAAGCCCCCTGGTCAGGGCTGGCTTAGCATGCCCACATGGCTCCCTGCCCACCTTTGCCCACAGAGGAGGAGTTCCGTACCATCTATCTGAATCCTCTGCTAAAAGAAGAGCCTGGTAGGAAGATGGTCCGAGCCGAATCTGTGGAGGACCCTGCCCCGCCTGAATGGGACTGGAGGAGAAAGGGAGCCGTCACTAAAGTCAAGAACCAGGTCGGGCCCCTAGAAGCGAGGGTGGGAAGTGGCACTGCACTGGGACTGGAAAGGGATCTGGCCCTGACTCTGCTTGTCCTTTGCAGGGCATGTGCGGCTCCTGTTGGGCCTTTTCGGTCACAGGCAACGTGGAGGGCCAGTGGTTCCTGAACCGGGGCACCCTGCTCTCCCTCTCTGAGCAGGGTGAGCCCCCCGCTCTATCCCCCTGTCCCCAACCCAAGCCCTCTGGAGGGCGTCTTCGGGACCAGCCTTCTGTCTCCTAGAGCTCTTGGACTGTGACAAGATGGACAAGGCTTGCCTGGGTGGCTTGCCCTCCAACGCCTACTCAGCCATAAAGAATTTGGGTATGCATTCATGGAGTTGGGGGCAATAGGATCCTCTTTTCCCGCTATAAGAAGTCAGTTTATGAAGAGGGTAGACACGGACATGGGAATCACACAGAACTGGGTTCATGTTTTTATTTGTTTGAGTTGGAGTCTCACTCTTTTTTTTTTTTGAGTTGGAGTCACTCTGCCCAGGTTGGAGTGCAGTGGCATGCTCACGGCCACCACAGCCTCAACCTGCTGGACTCGGGTGATCCTTCTGCCTCAACCTTCCAAGTAACTGGAACTACAGGCCTGCACCACCATGCCCGGCTAATTTTTTTATTTATTGTGGAAACGAGGTCTCGCCATGTTGCTTAGGCTGGTCTCGAATCCCTGGGCTCAGGCAATCCTCTTACCTCCACCTCCCAAAGTACTGGGATTACAGACTAAGCCACTAAACCTGGCCGGGTTCAAGTCTTAATGCTGACACTTATTAGCTGAAGACCTTGGACAAGTCAGAAATGGGGCTTACCCTGCCCACCTCGCAGGCTTGCTTTGAATATCAAGAGCGGAAATATATAAAGTTCCTGGTATATAGCAGGGACTTGGTGATGAGGAGGTCTTAGTTTCTCTACGTGGAGGTCTGAATTTCTAGAACGCCAGGTGGCAACCTGAGGGGAAATGTTGACCTCAGCTGGAAGTTCAGTTCAGCGGTGGGCTGCAGTAGCAGGAGGGTGAAGAGCTAAGGGACTGGAGTGGCTTTAGAGACTGGTCCAGGAGCCTGGCATGGGACTGGGCTAGGTTAGAAGTGCCCTTTCAGCGCGGGACAAGTAAGACAGGGTCAAGAGTCCCAAGAATGCTGGGCCAAGAGTCCCAAGAATGCTGGGCCAAGAGTCCCAAGAATGCTGTGCCAAGAGTCCCAAGAATGCTGGGCCAAGCCCTTGGTGAGGAGTCAGTTGGGAGTGGAGTCCTGTCCTTGCCACGTTTCTTGCTGCTTACTGTTGTTCTCTGCTCCGCGCCTCTCCTGGTCTCAGTCTTGTTGTTTCTAGAATGGGGCTATTCCTCTGAGGGGGTGGCCTGTGGCCTAGGGTGGGTGACAAACATGAGACCTCGTGCATAAGGGGGTTAGCATGCTTCTCCTGGCTCTGAATGATAACCGGGAGTTCATCCTTCCTCTGCCTCCCACCCCTCGCCCCTCCTCACTCCCCACCGTTCCCCAGGAGGGCTGGAGACAGAGGATGACTACAGCTACCAGGGCCACATGCAGGCCTGCAACTTCTCAGCAGCGAAGGCCAAGGTCTACATCAACGACTCGGTGGAGCTGACCCAGAACGAGCAGAGTGAGTAAGGGGCGGGGTGAGGCCGAGCCAGGTGGGGATTGGGCCCAGGCGTCCACTGAGGCCGGCCCTCCCCACCTCAGAGCTGGCGGCCTGGCTGGCCGAGAAAGGCCCGATCTCCGTCGCCATCAATGCCTTTGGCATGCAGGTAAGGCCCTAGCCCTGCTGCCTCCGCTCCATCTCTTGTGATTCCATCCCCCGCTTCTCCTTGGAGTTGGCCCCCTCCTCCCTCTCCCCCCAGTTCTACCGCCATGGGATCTCCCGCCCGCTCCGGCCCCTCTGCAGCCCTTGGCTCATCGACCACGCTGTGCTGCTCGTGGGCTTTGGCAACCGTGAGTCCCGTTGGCTGTCCGCCTGGGCAGCCACCCCTGGCAGGCAGGGCTTGGACCACAGCATCAGGACCTCTGGAGGGGGATGTTGGGGAATGCCTGGGGACCCCACTTTTATCCGCTGCCTCAGGCTGTTGGCCAGGCGGAATCATCCATCCCCTCTAGGGGAGGGAGGTAGAGCTGTGAGAGATGACATGGTTATAGCCCAGTGACCTACTGGAGGTGGGTGGGTGGATGCCCTCCCCCTCCCCCGAGGTGGACCAGGTCTCTGTGAGGGTGGCAGGTGGGCCGCTCTTTCTGCTGTCCCTGTCACAGAGTAGACCCACTGCTTGAAGGGTGCAAAGTGCTGCAAGCCTTGCCCGGAGACTTGGGGGGCCCCTGACTCCTTGTACTCCACACTGCTCCCCAGGCTCTGAAATTCCCTTCTGGGCCATCAAGAACAGCTGGGGCACTGACTGGGGTGAGGAGGTGAGTCTTGCCTGCCCGGCCCCGGCTCCCCAACCCCCGTCCTAGCACGGTGCCCTCACCCACTCTTCCTCTGCAGGGTTACTACTACTTGCATCGTGGGTCCGGGGCCTGTGGTGTGAACACGATGGCCAGCTCAGCGGTGGTGGACTGAGGAGCCTGCTGGCTCCAGGACCCGGTGCTGACCAAAGCAGCCCCTTCCCAGCCTGGCCTGTGTGCCCAGGCCCCTCCCCCAGGAGGTACAGCCGGCCGAGGGATGGGCACTGGGTCGGGAGCACAGCCCCTGCTTCCCTCCACCCCTCACCCACCCTGGAGTTCTGCACCTGCACTTTGGTGGGATTGTGGTAGCTAGGAGGATCTTGGGGTGAAGGATGCCATCTTGGCAGCCAAAGTGGGGGCTTGGGCAGCCATCAGGAAGAAAATATTCTGATCTTAAGCCCAGAGCTCAGTCCTCAGTAGGCTCTGGCTTCCTGCCCCAATTTCCTCTGTTGGATGCTAGAAATTTTCTGGTCCCCCTGGATTTGGGGACGGTGTCCCCCTCCACATCCAGGAAACTTGTAACCACCCCTTTCTAACAGCAATAAAGAGGTGTCCTGGTCCCCAGTGTGTTGTGAATGCGCAGTCCTTGAAGGCAAGGAAAGATGGTTGGGACTCCTGGTGCATCGAGGTAGGATAGCCGGCCCTGCCCAGGAGACTGGGGACCCGGCTTCTGCTTCAAGAACCCAAAGGAGGACTTCGCAGCAACTCGGATGGATTTAGAGTCCGTCATACTCAGTGATCTATCACAGAAACAAAGAGCAGAGTACCATATGTTCTCACCCATAAGCAGACCTTGAGCGATCATAATACTATAAGAAAGGGATTGGCAGTAGTGGGAAACTGCCAGGGGAGGGGGATGGGATTGGCAGTTGAGGGAAACAGCTGGGGGAGGGAGGGGCACACCTCATCCACAAGGGTACCTGCATAATTAATGTTTGTGTGTCTACCCCTGAATTGTACCCCACACCTTTAAAGTAAAAAAGCCAGGCTCGGTGGCTCAGCCTGTAATCCCGTGCCTTTGGGGGGCTGAGGTGAGTGGAGTGCCTGAGCCTGCGGGTTCGAGACCCGCCTGGGCAGCAAGACCTCATCTCTACAATAAATCAAAAAATCAGCCGGGCGTGGTAGCGCATGCCTGTGATTCTGGCTACTCGGAAGGCTGAGGCGGAAGGATCGTCGGAGCCCTGCAGGCGAGGCTGTGGTGGCTGGGTGCGGCCACTGCACTCCAGTCTAGGCGACCGAGTGAGACTCCAACTCAAAAAAATAAAAATAAATAAAGTAAAAAAGAAACCAAAGGAGATGGGGAGAGGCCCACAGATGGATCTTTATTCAGAAACACGGGGCTGGCCATTCTCTGAGGCCCTTGCTCCGAGGGGTGGATGGGATCAGCCACAGGGAGCACCCTTCCTTCATCTTGCGTAGACAGCCTCAGATTGAGGTCAGAGGTCGCTCTCCCCGTAGAGGGCACTGGAGAAGGCCACATAGTCCAGGGCTCCAACCGGGGCCCCGGATCCCTTGTAGGCCACCATCCGGCGGATGCAGTACTCGGCCTGCTCGGCCGGGAGCTCGCGCCGCAGCTCTTCAGGGGTGATATAGTTCTGGGGGAGAAAAGGTGTTGAAGGCCCGCAGGCCCCATTCCCTGTCCCAGCCCACCAGCGCCCCCCACTGCCCGAGCCTCACCTTGTCTCCCGCCAGGATCTTGAAGGAGGCCACGACCTGCTCAGCCGTGTCAGTCTCGGCTGTCTCTCGGGTCATGAAGTCGATGAAGGCCTGGAAGGTCACGACCCCGGATGCGTTGGGGTCCACCATGGTCATGATGCGAGCAAACTCTGCTTCCCCCTGCAGAGACGGAGGCCAGGCGCCATGCCCATGAGCGCTAAAGCCATGAGGGCCCCAGTGTCCCCTGTCTAGGCTTGGCTTGCACCATCCCAGTGACAGGGTGCTTCTTTCCTCCAAAGACCTTAGCCTGGCCTTAGGAAGTCCTTCAAGGAAGGCTCGTTGGTCCTGGATTTTTCTCTGGGGTCACACCCCTGTCTGCATTGTTGCTTCTCTGAGGTAAAAATGTTGCAAGCTCAGATTTGGGGGCCCCACAGAACCAGGTGCAAGTGGGTTTACCTCTGAGCTCTGCATGGGTGTAATGAAGAGTGAAGAGGGCCATGCATGGTGGCTCACGCCTATAATCCCAGCACTTTGGGAAGTGGAGGTAAGGGGATTGCCTGAGTCCAGGAGTTTGAGACCAGCCCGGGCAACTGGGCAAGACCTCGTCTCTATAATAAATCAAAAAATTAGCCAGGCGTGGTGGTGCATTATAGATCCAGCTACTGGAAGCCTGAGGTGGAAGGATCTCCTGAGCCCAGCAGGTTGAGCCTGCAGTGGCCATGAGCCTGCCACTGCACTCCAGCCTGGGCGACAGTGGGACTCCGACTCCAAAACACAAAAGTGAAGGAGATAATGTGTGTGAAGGTGGGCGGGTGACCAGTACAGAGGAGTGGGCTCTGACGTGCAGCTGGGAAGGACCTGGGGACACTCACCAGGTCGTAGCCCATAGAGATGAGGCAAGCTCGGAAGTCATCGGGCTCCATCCTCCCGTTCCGCTTCTGTCAGGGTGAGTGGATATCAGGCTTGGTCCCCAAGCCCCACCAGTCCCCAAGGTCTCTTACCCCACAGGGCTGGGCCCCTGCTGACCCGGTCAAAGTGGTTGAAGGATGCTCGGAACTCGTTGAGCTGCTCCTGGCTCAGACCCTTGGCATCTCGGGTCAGTACCTGGTTCTCCACCTCGTTGATGGTGCGGGCGATGGAGGTGAGTAGCTGCTCCCAGCCCACGCGGATGTGCTGGCAAGCAGGAGGCAGGACAGTCAGCGGGCAGCCCGTACCTTGCTGGCTCTGGCTCTGCTCTCAACCCCTGAGTGACCCTGGGAGGGCCTTCATTCCTATCTATAGGTTCCACTGAGTGGCCCCCAGCAGCCCTTCCTGTTGTTTTTTTTTTAGTTGGAGTCTCACTCTGTCACCCAGGCTGGAGTGCAGTGGCACACTCACGGCCACCACAGCCTCTACCTGCTGGATCAGGCAATCCTTCCGCCTCAGCCTTCCAAGTAGCTGGAACTACAGCCACGCCAGCTAGTTTTTTGATTTATTGTAGAGACGAGGGCTCACCCACTTGCCCAGACTGGTCTCGAACCTGCAGGCTCAGGCAATCCTCTCACCTCTACCTCCCAAAGTGCTGGGATTACAGGCGTGAGTCACCACGCTCAGTCTTCCTGTCTTTTGATCAGCCATGGCCAATCCTGGCCTGACTTTAGTCTGCTTTGTGACTCTGGATGGGTCGCTAGGTCTCAGTACCTGCATTGGGAGACCCTCCAGGGACACACATGCTGTGTCCAGCTGTGATCACCCCAGGTTTCCCCAGTCAATGCTGCCACCTCTCTCCTCTAAGAGGGTATGGTCTCACCTCCATGCTGTAGACGGTGTGCTTGTTGTCAAACACCAGGTTCTCCTGTAGCAGCTGGTGGTCACCCTCCAGCCGGTCAATGTTGCTCTTGTAGTTGATAATGTTGTGCTCTTGCTGTCGCAGCCCGGCCATCTGGTCCTCCAGAGACCCAATCAGCCCCGCTGCCAGCCGCCCCACCTCCTGCAGGAGTACCCAGACAGCATGAGAGCTCCCAGCTCCCTGGGACCCAACCCTGGCCACTTCTCCCAGGTCGGGCTCCCCTCTCCAAGCCCTTACCTCCACCTTCGCCTGGATCCAAGGCCCGACAGCATTGGCCTGGGCTGCAAACTGTCGCCGGAGCCTCTCGTTCACCTGTTGCCGTGCCAGTTCCTCCTGCAGTGTCTGGTCACGGCTGGGCACCAGCTTTCGGACCTGGAAGGAGGTGGTTGTGACAGAGCCAGGTCTGGGGGCTGGGAGATGGCTTTGAGGGGAGACTGGCTCTAGTTCCTCAAACCTATGCCCCTGTTGCCGCGAGCCAAATTTTCTGGGCTCTATGGGCAAGCCACTAGCCTCTGTAGGCTTCGGTTTCCCCATCTGTAAAATGGGAATAGGCTGGGTGCAGCAGCTCACCCCTGTAATCCCAACACTTTTGGAGGCCAAGGCAAGAGGATTGCTTGAGCCCAGGAGTTCGAGACCAGCCTGGGCAACACAGCGAGACTTTGCCTTCATAAAATGTCCAAAAAATGAGTTGAGCGTGGTAGTGTGTGCCTGTAGTCCCAGCTACTTGGGAGGCTGAGGTGGAAGGATCGTCTGAGCCTAAGCGGTTGAGGCTGTGGTGAGCTGTAATCATATAACTGCACTCCAGCCTGGGCAACAGAGTGAGACTCTGACTCCAAATAAATAAATAGTCTGGGCACGGTGGCTCATGCCTATAATCCCAGCACTTTGGGAGGCCGAGGTGAAAGGATTGCCTGAGCCCATGGGTTCAAGACCAGCCTGGGCAACTCATCTATATATTAAATTTAAAAATTAGCCAAGCATGGTGGCGTGTGCCTGTCGTTCCAACGACTTGGAAGACTGAGGCGGAAGGATCACCTGAGCCCAGCAGGTCGAGGTTGCAGTGACCGTGAGGGTTCCACTGCACTCCAGCCTAGGCCACACAATGAGACTCCAACTCAAAAAATAAATAAATAAATAGAGACTGATGATATAATTTATAACAAATACAGGCGGTTTTATAAAAGATGCCCACACACTAGACTTAAATCTTCTTTACACCAGTCCTGACAGGAAAAATGCTGTTATGATCATTATACAGATGAGGCCAAGATGGGCTCAGTGACTTATCCAGTGTCACACGGAGTCTGTGGCAGAACCCAGACCTGAAAGTGGGCTTGACACTCTATATCTTGGGACGTCTGAGGCTTCAAGGTGGCTAGAGTATGCAGGAGGGCATGGGAGGCGGCAGGGTGAGGCTACAGGAGCACCGACCTGGTCCCACTTGGAGTTGATGTCCTGCGGGGTGAGGTTGATGTAGGGGTTGGTAATGTTAGGCCGCAGCCCGTAGGTCTGGCAGATCTTCTGGATCTCACTCTGGATGCCCAGGATGGCGCCTCGCTCTCGGTCCGCCTCGGACAGTGTTGCTTTGAACTGGTCATGCGCTGTCACCAGGCTCTGGGGGTGACAGGAAGCATCAGCCGGCATCCCTCCACTTACCGCAGGCAACAGAAAAGGCAGGAATGTGCTCCAGGCCACCCAGCAGTCCCAGGCAGGCCTGGGGCAAGAACCCGAGCCTCCCATCTCCCAGCTCAGTCCCTGGGAATTGGGGTTTTCCTCTCATCTCCATTCCCCAGGAACCCAAAGGAATGGCTGGCAGGATTGATTTATGTAAAGATGAGGTCTTGCCAAGTTGCTCAGGTTGGTCTCGAACCTTCCCTGTCATTCCATCCAACCCCCCCACAGCTCAGGTGCCCACCTGGGTCTCCTCCACCGAGTGCACCAGCCACACGTCCTGTAGGTCCTCCACGGCCCCGTCCAGCCAGTTGTTGAAGGGTGCTGCCCGCCGGGCGAACTCCAGCTGCAGCTGGTCGATAGTCTCCAGAAGCTTCTCCATCCTCTGGGGCCCGGGGAGATAGGGGTC